TTGTGAGTAAATTTACTTTTAAGTTGTTCTCAATTCATATTCATAATTAGTTGCTGTCCAACAACTCGTCATTAGTCCCTGAGATTTGGCTGCCAGTCGATGTTGTGAACAGCATTAAAGAAAAAATGGGGGTTGTTGGTGTGGTCGGCTATTTGCAGCACAGCCAGTTCCAGGTACACCCTTTATCCTATCCAGCTTTTTTTTTAATTATTGGCACATTTTACTATAATGGTATGCCTACATACAAAACTACATATACATACTGTACAGTACATATAATGGTATGCCTGATGCATTAGCACTCTGCATGTCCCTGCTTTTCAATGTGGCTGTCCCTATATTAGTTCAACCAGGAGAATATTTCATCAACGGTTCTCAGGATAGAGGTGTTGAAGCAACGCCTGCAGAATCTAAAGTCACCAATCAAGATGATTTTCAGAGATGGACAGACAAATACAGAAGTAAGTCTGATTTTGCATTTGTTTCTATGTATTTTAAGAATTCTGAGTCTTAAAAAGGGATTTAACCAGTTGCCTTTGTTTACCCGATCCTTCAAAGACTCATTGGAATGAGCAGTGCTACGCATGAACATAAGTAATTGGAATAAAAAACCAATCAGAATAAAAATGTGTTATGTAAGCGCCCCAATCAGAATATTCTGATCTGATTCAGCTCGATCAGAATGAATCTGTAATCTGAAGGAGAGGGGTGGTTTATGCTAAGATTATAACTCTGCTCATGTCAGCAATTCTATTCTGAATGAAAGCCTAGTGCATGTACGTAAATGCTGGTCAAGAGCGGATTATTTAATTTTGTGTCCATATAAACGATACATTTGAATTAAACAATGCACATATATTTCAGTCCGATCAAAGTATTCTGCACATGTAAACATGGCCATTCATGGCCATTCAATGTAATGTGGATCTGTTTCATTGTGTTTGTACAGAATGGCTCTCGTTTGCGGTGTCAGTTTTTTGATGAATACGGTAGGTGTTTGTCAGGTTTTGCTTGACATTTGTTAAAATAGTACCCCGCTATCTTAGTTATGTAGAAACACTTAAAAATGGTTTTCAGCAATTGATAGTCTGTACTAATTCAGTTAGGGATTTTCACACAGGATGATGACCCTACTGCACAATCTATACTTTCCATGACCTATAAAATGTGGCTGGTATGTGATAAATTTGGAAAACCTTCAGCGAAGGCAGTTCTGATGCTGCTACTTTCTTTTAAAGTGGTGAAGCTATTTCAGCTATTTCTGGTGGAATGCCTCCTCCAGGTTGAGTCTCTACCTCAAGGGGAGGAGTTTAAGTATCTGCSTGTCTTGTTCATGAGTGGTGGTAGGATGGCGCTGGAGATGGATTGATGGATCATCCTCAGTAGTGAGAGTGTTGATTCAGTCAGCCATAATAAAGAAAGAGCTGAGTCGAAATGCAAAGCTCTRGATTTACTGGTCTGTCTACATTCCAACCTTCACCTGTGGTCATGAGGTGTGGATCATGACCGAAAGAACAAGGTCCTAGATACAAGAGGACGAAATGAGCTTCCTTCGTAGGGTGGCCGGGCTCAGCCTTAGAGATAGGGTGAGGAGCGCCATCATCCAGGAGGAGGTCGGCGTTGAGCTTCTGTTCCTCCACATCGAAAGGAGGCAGTTGAGATGGTTCAGGCATCTGATTAGGATGTTTCTTGGATGCCTCCCTTTAAAGGTGTTCTGGGCATTTCCCACTGGTAGGAGGCCCCAGGGAAGGCCCAGGACTCAGGAGGGATTATGTATCCTCTCTGGCCTGGGAGTGCCTCGGGGTCCCCATAGGACGAGCTGGAAAGGGTTGCTGGGGAGAGGGATGTCTGGGTTTCTCTACAGGACCGGTTGCCTCCTCGACCTGACTACAGATAAGCAGAAGAAGATGGAAATGGAGCTATTTCTTGTGTTCTGGATATGCTTTGCCATGCTCTCACCAGGCTCTGTACACCCACCTTGGCATAACTCACTCAGACGCATGTGTATTACCTCTGGTTGTTTCTATGAGTTTGTCATACGCTTGCAACCTATGTGTATGACTGAGCTACATCGGTGCACATGGACCCCATATAATCAAGATTCTGCCGCTATGCCAGTCCACCCAGGACCCTAATCTGCTTCCCCTACAATAACAAACTATGATGTTTTGAGTCATGTACTAATAAACATTGTGGATCTAAGTAAGTAAGTAAGTAAGTAAGTAAGTAAGTAAGTAAGTAAGTAAGTAAGTAAGTAAGTAAGTAAGTAAGTAAGTAAGTAAGTAAGTAAGTA